TGCAAGGAGAAGTTATGAATTTTAAATATAATTATAATTTACCTCTGTACATCGTACATTCCGCTTTCCTTTGCATTGGAATAATTTTGGTTTCCAATTTTTGTATTCATCAATGACATGTGTGAAACCAGACGCTACCCCTCCTTTCAGATAACTGCAAAATTTTTAATTTCCCGTGTGATAACAAATAAAATGTAAGTATCATATAGTGCCGATAACATCGCTTTTTGCAAGTTTTGTCATGACGACTTACAAATACTATGAAATTTGATAGATAAGAAAATGTTAGATTAAGTAGTAGCACCGTAAATAACGTGATCAATTCAGTAAACAAGTGTGAATTCAGTAAGTGTTTGATTCTGTATCAAATTTTGTAATTTTTTGAATTTTTTGAAAATCAACTTTGACTTTTCTGCGAACGACTGGAAAAAGTAAATATTAAATATATTTAAAACGTATTAAAAAGTCTGATTATACAGACTTCATTCCAAAAATAATTTCATTTTTCAAAAGAAACTGAATCTAAATGAACATTTTTTTGCAAACATACACTAACTGCGAGTGGAGACGCATGTTATACTTATTTTTGCTTTTAATAAATATTTAGATGAACAAATGCACGAATTGTGTTTATGTAAACTCTCGAAGTTTAAAATTCAGTTAATTTCACTTCCGCATTTCTTTTGGTTCACAGAATTCACCATTAGTTTAAATTAGTTTAAATTAGTATATAATTTTTGAAAAGATCGAAATTCACATGAAACAATTGAAAAATGAGTAAAAAAACATAGGCATATTAAAATACTTTAACAGAATTGAAGAGACATTAATGTATTTTATATATTAAGCAGTTAGAACTTGTTAGAATCAGAAATTGTCTTATAATACAAAAATATTAAAATCATGCGAAATTTTTTGCAGAAATTTATATTATAAAAACTTTATTATCTAAAATGTTGCTAGTAGAAAAAATTAAATCTTATTTGTTTACATGAGATTACAACTCATGTTATTAATCATTATCTAATTTTATGGGTAATTTCGAAACAACTGACTTTTATATTTGATTATAATGAATTTTGTTTTTACCCACTTTAATCTTTGACGCCTAATTAGCTATAAAAATTTCATTTGATACTTTGAATCAGTCGGAATTAGAATCACAGTCATATTTTCATTCTCTCTGAATCGAACTTGATTCCAATCATATTCAGGCTTTTTGAATTCTGCTTCTTGTTATTATATTAATCAGTTCAATATTTTACCACACTGTTACTATTTGAATCCAAATGAATTCCTATCAACTTCAACAAATAGTCTCAAATTATATTCTCTCGAACTAAATGAGTTGACTAATTGGTCAATCCGATTATTGAAAAATAGCAGACAATAATCCCACAACGTTTAAGAAGAAAATCTCTTCAAAAGAAGATTATCTCCATCAAATAATTCAATTCTGCCAAAACAAAATTCTCCTTAAATAATCAAATCAAATCAAAAAATTTACATCAGATCTAGCAAAATTAACATTTGAATAAATTTTGTTCAATAATATTATCTATATGGTAGATGTTGTTTAGCTTACTGATCATTTACGGCAATTATAATAAGGCGTGAAAGATAATTAGCAAATCATTCAAAAGATTTTTAATACAAAAATAGTCCGAAAAGTTCTGCACCTACCGTATGCCATCCTTGAAATAAGATAAAAACAGCGGTGACTCATGTCCTTGAACCTAAAAATGATTAAAATATAATCAATTTTAATAGCCGAATATCCACCATTAAAAAGGACCAAAAAAGCAATCAATCTAGCTAATTAAAATTTTGAATAAATTTTTTTATATGTAGAAGATATGTGTTTTGTTCTAGCTCTTTAATTCGATTAAATCTTGAATTGAAAAAAAAGAAAAATTTCTTAAAGATTTCAAATTATTAATAATAATTAATACACCTCGCGATATTGTACAGGTAACCCATTAAGTGCATCATCAATTTGTACAGTCATAATTGCTGCTGCTCCTTTTTCATCCTGAAATATTCAAATTAAAAGTTTTAGATTTTTAATCAAAAATTTTAAGAATGAGGTTCTTTTCTTTCTTTTCAACTAGAATATTCTACGCTTGACAGGTGCAATCAAAAATTTGCAAATGAGAAAGATGCACTGGAATTGATATTTTATTTTTTTCAAATATACACTGGAATGCATTACTGATAATTTTATATCTCGAGATTTAGATATTACTGAATTGGTTGCTTTACTTAAAATCTTCATATAATTTTAAAATTGGAAGAAGGCAATTAATGTTCAAGATGTTACATCATTACCAATTTAAAAAAAAAAATTAATTGAAATGTGAACAAACCTGAGTTGTTTCATTTCCCAGCCAAAAATGAACATTCCATTCGCCTGGATTTTTTGTCTAAAATTCAAAAACTTTCATGTTCGCAAAAATTTTATTAAATAAATCATTTTAAGCGGCAATTGATTCTCTCTAACTTACTTTCTACACTCTTCTTTAAGTGACTCATAGTATAAATATTCAGGAAAATTAAGCTCAATAAAATCATGAACACTTTTTTTTCGATATTTTTTACTGGAAAACTTATGCCAAGGTAAAAATGCTTACATAGAGAATGATATATGAATCACCAATGTAGAAATTTCCGAATTGCTCACGTGGCACCTTTTTCAGAGCGAAATTCGGAAAAAAACCAGAAACTTTATGCAGAGTAACATTAAAAAATTATTGTACGCTTAAATAGTTTAAAATTCGATTTTCTTTCAACAAAAACATATTATCTAATAGATTTTGCTCTTTGTATGTCATCTTGAAATTTGATTTCCTATAAAAAATAAACTATGTGAAAATATTTGATTGTTTCTAAATGAGATATTTATAATTTTGAAATTATAGGAAACATTAACCGTCAAAGACAATAAAAAAAATTTAAGAGATGCAGTCATAAAACCTCAATTCGCCATATTTCCAATCCACGCTCCTTTCCAATATCCTTTAATTGTGGATCATTTGTTGTCATATTGTCTGAAAAATTAGTCGGAAAATTCAAAAAATTTAATTTGCATAGCATTCATGCAGCTTAAATCATTAAATAAATCTCAAAGTTATGCATATACTAAATGTTAAATTTACAAAAGCATTGCACAAAATGAAAATACAAAACTTCAATAAAAAAAATTATAAAGTTTTTATACTTTGAATTTGACACTTTCTCAAAGATGCATTTCAATTACGGTGGTTGAGAAAATAAATTTACAAAATCCTCAATTGAAAACGCACTATCATTCGATATGATTCATCAGATAGCATGAACAAACATCCTTTTGAAAAGAAGTACTAAAGAGAAAGAGAAAGCGAAAGGGAGTGCAAACAAACTTCTAAAAATTTTAAGATATCATTAAAAAGGTTGAGCAAATATTTCTTCGGAGAGAATCGATCGGCAACATTTAACATTTCCCACCAAATATATCACTTAAGACAGTTAGTGCAATTGAATTTCAATTAAGATTTACTGAATGGAATTTTATGCCTTGATATTGTAGATCAAATAAACTCTTTGTTTCATGAATAATTTAATCATTTTTCTTCACTTTTTTTCCTGATTTTTTCTACGATGAATATCTCGTGTATTTTTATAATTAAAATAAATTTAAACTTGAAATAAAATTTAATATTTACTGTTTTTGTAAATTAAATTATTATATTCAATAATTTCCATTTAGTAATACAATGTTACCGAGAATGCATTTGCCACAAGAATATCCTCTCAGATTATTTTACAGAAATTGCTATAAAAAAATATCACCATCATTTAACTTAGTTAATTACTTTCATATTTATACATGCATAAATACTTAATGAATAAAATTTAATGGGCACATTAAGAATAACTTGAAAAAAGAAAAAATTTTAAAAGTAGCTAGAAGAGCAAAGAATCCAACAGATTAAAATTGTTTTTACCTTTCAGTTTGAATTGAAATAAAAAATTCATTTTCTATTGTATTTCTTGATATTTCAATTAGGATTCACATTTTGTTTAGCAAAAAAAATAAAAAAATAATAAACAAAAGAACCATAAATCTGTCTTATTTTGTATCAAATCACATGACCTGCAGAAAAGTGAAATGGAAAGCACATTGTGATATTTTAGTGTTAGAGGATGAAAATTAATGAATATAGCTAATGCAATAAGTAACTTTGGGAGAGTGTCGAAAAATCTTAAATAAGACATCCAATGATGAGGTTAAGTAGCCATTTAATAGTAAAACTAACATATGCGAACAATCTTTTTCCGAGTCTTTAACTCATATTTTTTTGTTGAAATGCGAAAACATTGTTAATAGTCAAATGATAATTTAAGAAAGAGCAACATTTTTGCACGTTTGCACTTTTTTTACGAATTTCAAGCTTCTTTTTACAAATTTCTACAAATTTCAGATATTGATCTAAACGCTCAACCTTGGGTTATTGCATTGTTTCAAAACACTGACATTTAGAACTTTAAACATATGGCTCAATTTTTTCGGAATTTTTTTTATCAACGAAATGCTTTAAATTTCGAAATATACAGCAGGATGTAAAATGAGTGCTAAGAAAAAATGAAGCGAGGAAATACATTCTGAAAATTACCATTCAAACTAAAAAATAATGAAGTTATGAATATGCTATCACTTGCCGTTCTTTCTGTCACCAAAGAATCAAAATTAAATTTTTACTCTTTTTTTCTTTGCATATTAGCAAACAAACCTGTCAGTATTTAAAAATGATGCACCATTCTTAAATACTGACATGATTGCTTGCTAGCTAAGCATTTGATAGAATGAAATAAGAATTCAGCCTTTTCATCAGATTTAATAATCCTTCTTAGTGAGAATATTTACATTAATTATCAATGATGCCAGTATAAATAATAATTTCCGACATATCAAACCAAACTTTGTTTTCGGTCCTATATTTGATCTAAGGGATTTCCGACATCTCTTGTTTGACCCACCAGAAATTCCCTATATTGAGAAGGTATTCAAAGCACAATTATTTCGTCTAAAAAGGAAAAAAACAAAAACAAAAATGAGTCAGTCTTTTTAAAATGTGGCAAAGTAATAGATCAAATCCCACACATTTTCAGCATCATTCTTCCTGTTTGTTGACAAATCTACATTTTGCGACATTTTCAAAAATTCCGCTATGCTCCTGTTTCCCCTTACTGATAACTATCATCTGATAATAATCAATAAAAAATTAACCGGTCACCACATGCTATGAATCAGTTCTTAATTCACAACTGCAAACAATTTCATTACTTCTTCCCATGTAAACAAGTATGGCATGCAATAAGCACCGAATTATTCATGTTTTTCAAACAAACAATTTTCATGAGAAGCAAATAGAAATCAGCCATTGTCAACAAACTCAATAATCTCTGTTGATGCTAATATTTACATTGCTTATCAATAATATCAGTTTGAATGATAATTTCTAATATTGAAAATACTTTTAGTTCATCGATGGAAAATGTGAAAATGAATTTTAATCAACAAA